ATAGACAAGTTCCAAGACGGTAGGCGGACGAGTAGATCTATACAATGTGGAGGATGAATCTCCAGAAAGTGGATGGCGAAGAGGGCGATAAACTGGTAGATGAAAATGCGATGGAGGAGCTTGGGCTCTAAGATCGCGAATAGCTGACACGACTAATGAAGCACTTTCCGAAAGAGGAATAGAAGGTACGGAAAATACTGGAGCAGAAATCGAATCAGAAGCCGAGGTGGAAACTGACTGATTCGTTGTCGAAGTAGATGCCTGACGCGACGAAGTTGTTTGGGTCGACGCGGTGGACGACGAAGTGGTCGACGTAGGCTGCTTGAACATCGCACGAGAACACAGTAGCAGGATAGTATCTAAAAGAAGAAGAGTTAGGGGGTTATACAAACAAGCGAGAAAAAAGGTTGTAAATCTGAGTAAAGTTAAAACTGTATAAAGGAGGAAAATAATAAGCTATAAAGGAAACCAGATATATATTGTATGGGGAATGGAAGGGTGAGAGAATGACACAGATAAGAATGAGCAAGGAAGAAGGACAGACAAAAAGAGACAAGTATGGAATAGAAGCCGATTGAGATGGAAAAGGAGAATGCGCTGAGATGTATTACGCGGATGAACTGAGATAGAATGAGACGGAGAACAATGTGCGATAAACGAGTATGTAAAGAAGTGAGAAATAACTGACCGACTTGAAGGAAGGATAAGGACAAAATGAAGTACAGTAAGGATGACGAAATAGGTATAGAAGTTACTAGAAGTACAAGTACACTGTGGGAGACTGGTACACTAAGGGAGAGGGTAGGTGGGCAGAGAGCAAATTTGCAGTGGGGTAGATGAATTGAGAATAGATGTAGAAGGGAAGGATAAAGGAATTAGAAATAGAGTAAGAGAGACAGAAATAAGAGAATGAGAGCAATAAGGGGAAAATTATATTAAGGGTGTATAATATAAAGAGACATAAAGTTGTAATGGTAGAGTTACGTGTGTTCTAACGTACGGCGTCGTTTTGCGGCTCTTGGCGGCTGAATGCGAAGGGGTGGAGGATTGAACGTGACCTGAGAATCTTCGGATGCAACGATCTCCAGAGGGTACAGCTGATTAATCGACCTCTGTAATTCGTTGCCGTTGGAGGTACGTGCTATGGCGCTTCTGATCTGATGAGCGCGGTCCTTCGACAGGCGAATAATGAATGCCATAGGCCAAGTACCACGAGAAGTCGATTTGTTGCCTATTAGGACGAGTTCACCAATCTGAAGGATACGTGGCGTGGACTTGCCCTGAGTAATACGCCTGGAATGTCGTTCTGAAATAGCTGTAAGATAGTCTGTTGACCAGATTGTCCAAAATTGGTCTAGGACAGCTAGAGTTTCCTTGTGCCATTCGACGAGACGATGATTCGACAACTCCAAGTGTGATGACGCGGTATCGGACGATGGTAGCTGAAGCTGAACCTGCGGTTGTAGAAAGTCTACTGGACGGAGAACTGACGGCGAACTGACTGTTTCCGACAGTGCTGTTAACGGTCTTGAATTGAGGATAGCTTCGATTTCCGAGATGAGCGTCGAGAACTGCTGGAACGGTAGGAGTGACGAACCGATGGATTTGCGAATAGCTGACTTAACAAGTCCGACAAGTCTTTCGTAGAATCCTCCTTTCCATGGGGAAAGGGGCGTGATGAACTGCCAACGGATATGGCGGCTTGTAAGATACGAGGAAACCTGAGAAGGCGACTGTTGCTCGCTGATGATCTTCTGCAACGTGTCGTCTGCAGAACGAAACGTGGAGGCGTTGTCGCTGAGAATGAGTGACGGAGTGCCTCTTCGGGCTACGAATCGACGAAAAGCGAGGAGAAATTCCTGCGTCGTGTTGTTGAGAACGAGTTCTAGATGAATAGCTCGAGTAGCCATACAAGGTGAAGAGACAGATCCAAATCTTAGCCGAAACGTTGAAGGAGTCCTTGTACCGTAGAGGACCAAGATAGTCGAGTCCGATGTTCTGGAAAGGTCGAGATCGATTGACTCTTTCCTGCGGTAGACTTGGCATGTCCGGATAACGGTACGGAAGTGCGTTGGTCTTTTTGCACACAGTGCAAGCACGAAGAATGTTGTTGACCGTGGTACGAACAGAGGGAATAAAGTAGGACTGACGGAGTGTGGCTATGGTAGCGTGTACACCGGAATGGAACTGCATGCGATGGATATGCATGACTATAAGTTGCACAAGCGGATGTGACGGAACTAGAAGAACCGGAGTGGACGGAGAAGTACTTGAATGCTGCATACGATGAGGACAATGAATGAGTCCTGAGGAGGAACGATGAGCGTTAAAGCGATGAAGTGGCAAGCGACTAAGAACGAGTTCGCTTTCGCGGTAGTGCTCTTTGATGAGAAGCACTTCTGCGGCGGCGAATTCCGAGACAGAGATGTCCAAGGAGTGCTGTACATCTAGAGTGTGATGTACACGGCGAATCTTGGCGAACATGATTTGGATGAACCTAAGAACGTATGCTGTAGAGCGTACGAGCTTGGTATAGCGACTAAAGGCGGTAAAGCGAATAGGCGATATATAGCCGGATGGAATAGAGGCTATAAGAGCTTTGTACTCCTTTTGCGCGTCCTGTTGTTGTTCCGTAGGTAGATGGAAGTTGTTGGCTTGTGGCCATTGTGACTGAGGTGTACGAAGAAAGGATGGACCTGACCACCAAATGTGTCCTTGTGCAGCTGTTGTTGGTATGCCTCTCGAGGCACAGTCTGCAGGATTAGATTCCGACTGAACGTAGTAGAGATGCGTAGGGATCTGAAGAGATTGGAAATAGTCTAGGATGGACTGTATGTCCGTGATGCGGTTGTTGACAAAGGTACGCAGCGGACGACTAGACTGAATCCAATGGAGAACAATCTGCGAGTCGGAGAAGACGTGAACTGCGGAGATGTTGAGATGCAGTTGTTGGTAGACGAACTTGACAAGACGGAGACTGATGAGTGTGGCCAATAGTTCCATGCGTGGCATGGTTATTGGTTTACGAGGACCGAGAAGGGATTTAGCCATAACAAGGTGAACCGAGGTATTGGACCGATTCCTACATAGCAGATACACACAAGAAGCGTATAAACGTTTCGAGGCGTCTCCAAAGACGCAGAGTTCGACTGACGATGGAGCACTTGGCACGATACAACGTGGTATCGGCGGAAGTGGATGTTGAATGTCCTGAACAAGCTGGTTCCAACGATGATGGTCGTGAACGTCGAGTGGGTCATCCCAGTTGTAGTTTTTGGCCCACAAGTCCTGTAAAAAGACTTTGAACGGCGCTAAAAACGGAGATAGAATTCCTAGCGGATCGAACGTAGAAGCGAGAGCTTTAAGCGCGGTACGCTTAGATGTTACTGCATGATGAATCGTGTGGAGTGGAATGGTATAGTGATCGAGTTGCGGATTCCAC